TTTCTCAGATTTTTTTTCTTTCCTAGTTATGAACAAAGCTTTACTAAATATGATAAATTTGAATTATATTCTATCGGCCAAACGCAACTGTAACTCAAAGAAGTTGAATATATTTGAAATCACATGTACATGATTTAGAGGAAATCAGAGACACTAGTTTTTTTGTTGTTGGTCACATATATTTTGTTGTAATATCCAGGAGGATACTGTGGGTCTTAATAAAAATGTGATCTGTAATTTTTATCAAAATTACCTAATTAGTACCTACATAGTATGTTGACACAGCTCTTCATACCCCATTGGCTTATTTAACAAAGGCCTACTATAGTCTTAAAGGATTCATTCGAATTTCATAAACAGTCATACTTTGACCAAAGTGTAACTAATACAATTAAATGTTTCTTTTTAAGTTCAAAGAACAATTTTTTTTTTTTTTTTTTTTTTTTTTGAGACAGAGTGTCACTCTGTCACCCAGGCTGGAGTACAAAAGAATAGTATTCCGATAACTTACATGTCACTGATGAGGGAAGAGGACCCCAATTAAAAATACATTTTTCTGAGAACAGCAATATCAACACAGGAATAATTCAGTAAATACAAATGCCTACTGCATGCCAGGCACTCTCCCAAGATGCAGCAACCACTGTTTTCACAATCTGACAGTAAAGGTAAACATGAAAAAAAAAAATTGTGCCGGCCAGGTGTGGTGCCTCACGCCTGTAATCCCAGAACTTGGGGAGGCCAAGGCTGGCAGATCACCTCAGGTCAGGGGTTCGAGACCAGCCTGGCCAACGTGGTGAAACCCCATCTCTATTAAAAATACAAAAATCAACCAGGCATAGTGGCAGGCATCTATAATCCCACTTACTTAGGAGGCTGAGGCAGGAGAATCTCTTGAACTGGATGGCAGAGGTTGCAGTGAACTGAGATTGTGCCACTGCACTCCAGCCTGGGTGGCAGAGTGAAACTCCATCTAAAAAAAAAAAAAAAAAGTGCAGTCTGACAAGTTCTGAGAGTCTTTAAAAATTATCCTGGAGACCAGAGGTGAGAGCAACTGATTCCCAGTATCATGTAGCATGAGTTACTGATGATGGATGGGCATCAGCCTTGATAGTAGGTAGTCACTATAAGCTGACCCAAACCCTGCCTTTGCCCTGATGACCAGATCTTGGGCAAATGACTTAGTCATTTCACACCCCAGTCACCTTATCAGTCATAATTCATGCCTACCCTACCTGGGTATTGTGAGAATTCAGTGACATAAAATATGTAAAGTACATTGCCAACAAGACAAAAAAAGTTGATAAAAATTAATTATCTTTGCTTTTCCTTAGTAGCATAAAGAATACAAGTTTAGCAGGTTAAGTCATGTCCTGTTTAGTATTTGCAATAATTTGATCCTACACCAAACTGAAATTACTCTTGTATTTTTTTTTTTTACATTTTTTGTAGAGACAGGCTCTCACTTTGTTGGTCAGGCTGGTCTTGAACTCCTGGCCTCAAGTGACCCTCCCACCTCAGCCTCCCAGATGGCTGAGATAACACGCATGAGCCACCATGCCCGGCCTACTTTTGTATTTTTATATGCTGGGGAATTCTTTGATCGTTTGATTTATTTTTTATGCAATTTTAGTATATATATCCCGGTTGTTGTTTCATTTACGTCATAAACCTATTTCATATAGCTATATAGCAGTCATCCTTGTTTTTCCAACTGATAATCTTTAGTTTAAAAAGCCATTCCTACCAATGAAAAAGATACATTGTGATTCACTCTTGAAAGAACTTAGGGAAAATAATTCCTCCTAATTCCAGCCTCCTCGGCATCAGGGGCAGAAATGAGAAGTACCACGTTTTACTACCTGATGTAGGAATAGATATAATAGATATTAACTTTCGGCTCTAAAAAGCCATGATAAAATCTCTTTGACCACAGTGCTTCTCTGCAGTTGAATCCTTTCATCAACTCAAGCTGTTGCTTTTTTTCCAAGTTACTAAATATGAATTGAAATCATGAATTATGGTCAGGATGCTTGACCTAGCCAACTCTTAAAGTCTCTTGTCTTACCCTCACCCCACTCCCTTCTTGGGGGCTGGTTAACCAGTGTGGAAGATCAAACAGGATTGCTCCGTTCAGCTGCTTGTGCCAAGAATGCATTGCTTTTAGAATGCCTTCGAATGGCATTTTGTTCTGCCTGAGGACCACAAGCAATTCTAATAAGCCTGGGTACAGGCTGAGTTTAATTCTGGGTCTTCTCTGATACAGGGCTTGGCTCCAGATTTAAGGCTTTCCTTTTAGCATGGGGCTTGGGAACATATGTGGAATAAGGAAGGTCCTTTGAGAAAACATGAGAAACAAATATTAATGTGTGTGAAAGATCATGCACTGGAGTGGTCAGGTATTTTCTTTGTGAGCGCAAGACTGTCATACTTGACTATAACATAAAAGCAATTTGTGAAGTGGATAATAATTTTGATTATACCTTATTCTTCTCAGAATAGATGTGTGTTTGCACACAGATCTGGGTGTTTAGAAAAGTTTCTTCTGATTACACCCATTTTTAAAAATGCACATATTCCACCAGCTTGTTTGGTGGAAATTACCAAACATCTATGTTAGATGGTAGAAGTGAGCAATAGAGAAATAAAGTTACATAAATTTGGTATATTTTTTCTATCCATTTTTTTACACTTAACATTCATAGCTCGCTTGCTTTCTCACACATACACATGCACACACAGACACAATTTGACATAAGTTTTTACATTATATATGCATTTCTGAACATGGCCTTTTTGTCACTCAACAATGTTTTTTAATTCTAGCATTTACACATAGATGTGGGTTTCGGGGGTTTATTTTAAAAATGTTATGTAGTATATTTCATCATATAAAACAGTCACACTTACCCACTTTCATACTTACAGACATTTAACTCGATTCCCATTTGCAGTATTATGAATAACACTGCCATGAACAGCCTTCACAGGGCCCTCTGTGGGAATGTGTTTCTAGAATAGATGCCTCACAGTGGGTCAGACAGTGTAGGCATATTCTTTTTTATAGATGCTGTCCTCTAGAATGTCTCTATCATTTATTCTCCCACCATACACAGCTTATGAAAATACCTATTTCCTCAATGCAGCAATATTTGATGTTGTCAGATGGTATTTTTTGGCCGCATAATGGTTGCAAATTGTATTAGTCTGTTTTCACACTGCTATAAAGAACTACCTGAGGCTGGGTAATTTGTAAAGAAAGGAGGTTTAATTGACTCACAGTTCCACATGACTGGGGAGTTCTCAGGAAACTTAGAATCATGGTGGAAAGCAAAGGGAAAGCAAGGCATGTCTTACATGGTAGTGAGAGAGACAGAGAGAGAGAGAGAGAGAGAGAGAGAGAGAGAGAGCATGCAAAGGAAGCCACACACTTTTAAACCATCAGATCTTGTGAGAACTCACTATCATGAGAACATCATAGGGGAAACCACTCCCATGATCCGGTCACCTCCCACCAGGCCCCTCCCTCAACACATGGGGATTACAATTCGAGATTGAAATTTGGGTGGGGACTCAGAACTAAACTGTATCACAAATACTATCTCATTTTGTATTGAAACACTTTTAAGAATCTCATTCTGCAATCATCATGTATCATAGTATAATAATCGACTTCTAAAATCAGATCCAACTTTCCATAAAAGAAAAACATAAAACCAGGCCGGGCGCAGTGGCTCATGCCTGTAATCCCAGCACTTTGGGAGGCCAAGGTGGGTGAATCACGAGGTCAGGGGATTGAGACCATCCTGGCCAACATGGTGAAACCCCATCTCTACTAAAAATACAAAAATTAGCTGGGTGTGATGGTGTGTGCCTGTAATCCCAGCTACTCAGGAGGCTGAGGCACAAGAATCACTTGAACCCAGGAGGTTCAGAGCCAAGATTGTGCCACTGCACTGGTAACAGAGCAAGACTGTGTCTCAAAAAAAAAAAAAAAAAAAAGCATAAAGCCAAAAGCTTTTGTTGTGTTCTATTATTTTAAAATATAAAAGGAACTATCATGTAAGATACAAATGTTAAACTGACTCATTCTTTCAACATTTATTAAGCATTTAGTACTAGGCTCTAGGATTATGAAGATAGGCAGGTTATAGTTTAGGGCATCAAGGGCTCTCATTCCAGTGGAGGAAGCAGGTACTTAAACTAGTAGTTTCTGCAAATGCTGTAATAGTGAATGTTCTAAGGACTGTAAGTGGACAGGAAGGAGAATATAAGTCTAATTGTCTTTGTGATGCAGAATGAATATTAGATTTCACCAAATTCAAAGTAAATGCTGCACTTTTATGTGTTTAAAAAAGATTGTCACACATTTACTCTTCAGCCCCATTCTGCCATAGTATAGTACATGACACAATTTCCCCAAGAGCTGCAGTGTGATACACAGAGATTCATGTAAGAGAACTTGTCCCCACACCTTCTGTGGGGACACAGGTGACAGGTGCCTGTGAATCTACAACCAGCAGCTGAAGTCATCAATCCATCCTCAGCAACTAACAGTTTTTCAGTACTTGGCATGTGCAAAACACCAGGCTAGGTGCTGAGGGGGATAAGGTGTGTGTAATGTGGTCCTGTTCAGTGGCAGTTCAGAATCTAGCTGGGGAGATAAGGCAATTCATGTATAATGACATTGTAGATACTTAGTCATAAGAAAAAACAACCAAATTTGAATGATACTTCCATATGGCCCACTCACAGTAGAAAGAAAACTTTAATATCTAGAGAAATGTCTTAAAGGGATACAGTGTATCCAGGTTCTGAGCTGTAGTTAGAAGTATAGATGAAATTGCATGTATCAAGATCTTGATACACAGTCCTGTGCTTAGTAGGCACTCAGAACACTTTTAACATTTTTTGAGTTGACATAATGTTGTTACTAATATAAATATTTTAAGAAAAATTATTCTTTTTTATTGGTTTTTAATTTTTGTCTTGTTTTTTAGGTCAAGAAGTGGTTTTCAAGTGCCTTGGGGAAGGAATTCTTGAAAAAGCCTTTCAGGGGTATAATGCGTGTATTTTTGCATATGGACAGACAGGTAAGAATTTGCTTTTATAAGCCAGACTTGTTGGATCATGCCTGTCATCCCAGGACTTTGTGAGGCTGGGGTGGATCTCTTGAGCTCAGGAGTTTGAGACAAGCCTGGGCAACATAGTAAGACCCATCTTTACAAAAAATAAAAATATTAGCCCATCGTGGTACACCTGTAGTTCCAGATTCTCAGGAGGCTGGGGTGGGAGGATGGTTTGAGCTCAGGAATTTGAGACAATAGTGAGCCATGATCATACCACCCCATTCCAGCCTGAGCAACAGAGGGAGACCTTGTCTCAAAAAAATAAAATAAATAAATAAATAAATTTTTTTAGGCAATGATATTAAATATGAATTTCTTGCTATTTAAAAATAGAAAAAAGCCAGGTGCAGTGGCTCATGCCTGTGATCCCAACACTTTGGGAGACTGGGATGGGCAGATCACTTGAGGTTAGGAGTTCGAGACCAGCCTGGCCAACATGGTAAAATCCTTGTCTCTACTAAAAATATAAAAATTGGCTAGGTGTGATGGTGTGCACCTGTAATTCTAGCTACTCTGGAGGCTGAGGCATGAGTATTGCTTGAACTTAGGAGGTAGAGGTTGCAGTGAGCCAAGATCACGCCACTGCCCTCCAGCCTGGGTGATGAAATGAGAGTCTGTCTCAAAAAATAAAAAATATTAAAAATAAAAATAGAAATAACTGTGAAAAGCAACAGAAAAATGCGTTTGACTTTGTACATTTAACTGAGTTAAGTGATCAAAAGTAATCCTTTCTTTGAAGGTATAGTAGTTTTGGTAATTGAGCAATTTCAATGTTAATAAGCAAAGCTAGTTTCAAGTTATTAAGTGTCATTTTCCTCAATTATAGTTTAGCCTGCATTTAAACTAGAAAAATAATTATCGGTTTCTTAAAAAAAAAAAAAAAAAAAAAAAAAAACAGGCCAGGCGCAGTGGTTCATGTCTGTAATCCCAGCACTTGGTCAGTGGATTGAAAGATCAGGAGTTCAGGACCATTTTGGCTAACATGGTGAAACTCTGTCTCTACTAAAAGTACAAAAATAAGCCAGGTATGGTGGCCCACACCTATAATCCCAGCTACTCAGGAGGCTGAGGCAGGAGAATCACTTTAACCCAGGTGGTGGAGGTTGCAGTGAGCTTACATTGCACCATTGCACTCCAGCCTGGGTGATAGAGTGAGACTCTGTCTCAAAATAATAATAATAATAATAATAATAATAATAATAATAATTACCAGTTTCTCCGTATAAATGGCATAGTAAAAATGATAGAAAAACTCTTAGTTTCATCCTATACTGAGGACTTTCACTAGGATACAGAAGTAATGACAGATTATTAAACCTAAGCTTATGAAGAAGTTGGTTGAAGCAAGCAAAACAAAAACATATTAATGGCTCAGCCATGAACACTCTGAGCCAGATCTTTCAACAATAAGGTAGAAATAAATAAATAAATCATAACAGTGCTGCCTAATATCACATGACAGGATAACTAGGAGATGCAGACGAGAGAATATATGTAATGTAATATATGGTGTGTTACTTAATGTATAGTTGGAATTTTACTATACATACTTACAAATGTGTTTTTAGTGGTTGCATTTATACACATCATCTGTAAGTGAGGTGCCCTCCAGATCTTGCCGACTCACACTGGAAGCCCTGAGTGTAATGGAAAGAACAGTAGCCTGGGCATCCAAGAGCCTGGGTTTGAGGCTAAGTTGGCCACTTTTCTGCTCTGTGACCTTGGCCAGCATATGGGGAAACCTTGTATGGTTGAAGAATTGCATTTTGCTTCCTCCTCTACCCATTCTTCTTTCTGCTTGCTCTTCTCCAGGTTCGGGAAAATCCTTTTCCATGATGGGCCATGCTGAGCAGCTGGGCCTTATTCCAAGGCTCTGCTGTGCTTTATTTAAGAGGATCTCTTTGGAGCAAAATGAGTCACAGACCTTTAAAGTTGAAGTGTCCTATATGGAAATCTATAATGAGAAAGTTCGGGACCTTTTAGACCCCAAAGGGTAAGATTAAGACCCCAAATGGTCAAGATTAAGTGTGTTTGGGTGCAGGGGGGAGCGGGGAGTGCTTTTAAATGATTCTAAAGTTAAAATTGGAAGTGAATATACGTATTTAAGCTCTTGGTGACTATGCTGGTTTTTATTCATTTACAGAGAAATCATCAGCTTCTCAAAGTCTGTTGGTATACCCAGTGTTTTTCCTACATTAATGTATAAAGTTGCCTATGTGTGTATGTCCTTTGAAAAGATGTTTCTACAATTTTTTTTTTTTTTTTTTTTTTTTTTTTGCCACCATGAACTAGTCATAAAAATTGAGTTAGGAATAACACATTAGTTCTTCCATTTACATTGGAAAGCAGCACCTCTGTGTTAAAGGTAAAAGGGTTGAAGGATTGAAACATCCCAGCCTAGGCAAGCAATGCCTTTCCCTGGCTGTGCATTGGAATCATGTGGGGAATGTTTTAAGGATCCCCTTGCCTGATTCTCACACATAGAGACTGGATTCAGTAGACCCAGAGTGAAACCCAGCGATCTATTTAACTAGGTTATAAAAATAGATTTATTTGATTCATAGAGGATGGGGGACCATTTACTTTTTTTCAATTAAAAAATTTGGGGCCAGGTACAGTGGCTCATGCCTATAATCCCAACATTTTGGGAGGCTGAGTTGGGCAAATCACCTGAGGTCAGGAGTTCCAAACCAGCCTGACCAACATGGCAAAACCCCGTCTCTACTAAAAATGCAAAAATCAGCCAGGTGTATTTATTGGCACCTGTAATCCTAGCTACTTGGGAGGCTGAGGCAGGAGAATCACTTGAACCCAGGAGACTGGGGTTGCAGTGAGTTGAGATTGTGCCACCGCACTCCAGTCTGGGCAACAGAGGGAGACTCCATCTCAAAAAAAAAAAAAATTATACGGATTTACAAATAATATCTATTTATGGAAAATTTGGAAAAGAGGTAAAGTATAAAAAGAAATAAATATGACCTATAATCTCACCATTCAAAATAACCACTAGGCCAGGCGTGGTGGCTCACGCCTCTAATCCCAGCACTTTGGGAGGCCGAGGCATGTGGATCATGAGGTCAAGAGATTGAGACCATCCTGGTCAACATGGTGAAACCCCATCTCTACTAAAAATACAGAAATTAGCTGGGCATGGTGGCGCAGCCTGTAGTCCCAGCTATTTGGGAGGCTGAGGCAGAATTGCTTGAACCCAGGAGGCGGAGGTTGCAGTGAGCCGAGTTCATGCCATTGCACTCCAGCCTGGGTAACAAAAGCGAAACTCCATCTCAAAAAAACAAAACAAAACAAAAAAAAACAATAAATAAACAAATAAATAAAATAACCACTAAGGCCAAGAGTGGTGGCTCATGCCTATAATCCCAGCATTTTGTGAGGCCGAGGTGGGTGGGTTACTTGAGATCGGGAGTTTGAAACCAGCCTGGCTAACATGGTGAAACACCGTCTCTACTAAAAATACAGAAGTTAGCCAGGCATGGTGGCAGACACCTGTAATTCTCAGCTACTCAGGTGGCTGAGGCAGGAGAATTGCTTGAACCTGGGAGACTTGGCCGTGAGCCAAGATTGTGCCACTGCATTTCAGCCTAGGCTGGAGTGATACTCCATCTAAAAAATAATAATAATGATTACTGTTACTACTTTGGTGCGTTTCGTCCAAAATTGTGGGTGACAAGGAAGTGACCCAATCAAAGAAAATGTTTATATTTAGTTTTAAGATGCCGTTAACTATTTAATGCATACAAAAGAACATTTATAACACCTGTAAAGCATAACGAGTAATAAAAACAACTGCCTACCTACATTTGGCTTAGCCAAAAGAACTCTGCCAATAAATAAATAAATAAATAAATAAATTAAAATAAATGGAACATGACCCATCACTGTGAAGTTCACTGTATGTTCCTCTTGGATCCATTTCCTACCCCTCCCCAAGGTAACTACTATTGTGAACTTTGTGTTTAGCATTCTCTTACTCTTCTTTAGCATTTACAAATAATTTTGCACAATTTTTAACTGTGTGTGACATAATATATGTGTGCTTTGGTGATTTGTTCCCCCTACCATGATTCATTTATTCTTATACTTGAAGTGCTAATGCATTTTTGCTGTCATCTAGCATTTCATTGCCTGATTATATCAATAATTCACCACTTCCCCTTTTTTGTGTGTGGTTCCTGCTTTTATCAGTACAGTGCTGCTCTGAAAGCATTGTTTTGCAGGTCTCCTCGTATAGGTGCAGGAGTTTCTAGGTAACACATTTAGGGGTGGAACTGTAAGTCACAAAATACTGAATCTCCCAGCTTTATTCAGTAGTGAAAAGTGTTGTACCAGTTTCCGCTCCCACCAACAGTATACAAGAATTTCAGATATTGGATACAATCACAGGCACTTGATCTTATACTAGATTTACTTTTTCTTGCTGCTGAATAGCATTATGGAATCTCTGGCAAGCAGCGTAAGCTGTGTACTGGATCATGTGCATTTAAGTAGCTCATTGTCACACTGAATTCTTCATCTTTGAAATAAAGGTGGTAGGCTGGGCACGGTGGTTTATACCTGTAATCCCAGCACTTTGGGAGGCCAAGGCGGGCAGAGCACAAGGTCAGGAGATCAAGATCATACTGGCCAACATGGTGAAACCCCATCTCTACTAAAAATACAAAAATTAGCCAGGCGTGGTGGCACCTGTAATCCCAGCTACTCAAGAGGCTGAGGGATAAGAATCGTTTGAACCCAGGTGGCAGAGGTTGCAGTGAGCCAAACTCACACCACTGCACTCCAGCCTGGTGGCAGAGCAAGACTCTGTCTCAGTAATTAATTAAATAAATTAAATAAAGAAATAAATAAAGAAATAAAGGTGGCAAAGCCTATTTTGTAGGGATATTATGAGAGTAAATGGCATAACTGAAAAGTGCTTCAGGGAACAGTGCTAGGATGCATTCAGTGATGATTCTTAGCTCCTTTTCCTCATGTATTAGTGATGCTACACATTGACTCTTAATTTGAAAGGTGATTAATATCTGTTGCCATGAAAAAGATGGCATATATAATATGGTCAGTATAGACATAACTTTGTTTTTAATTGTCTTTTGATAAACCGTTCACATGGGTTCCAAATGAGGCTTGTCATTTAAAAATTCAAAAAAGCTTTAAAATTTTTATTAGCAGAACCAGTTCTAAATAGGACAAACATCAATAATTATAAACAAGCTCTGTACTATCATTTCACTTTCTGTATACAAAAGTGTAAGCATAGAAGTCGCATAAACCAATGCAGACCTGAAGTAAAGTTTAAACATTTTAATATTGTTTACTACTAATTCAGAAATTTTGACCGGGCCTTGGTGGCTCACATCTGGCTTCACTATTCTGCCCAAGCTGGTCCTATACTTCCGGGTTCAAGCAGTCCTCCAGCCTCAGCCTCCCAAAATGCTGGGATTGACATCTCTACAAAAAAACATACAAATTAGCCATGCATAGTGGCATGGGCCTGCTACATGGGCAGCTGAGGTGGGAGAATTACCTGAGCAGGAGGTTGAGGCTATAATAAGTCAGGGTCATGCTGCTGCACTCTAGCCTAGGCAACAAAATGAGACCCTCTCTCAAAAAGTAAATACAATTTTAAGACATTATCCACCAAGAATATGCTTAGTTATGAAATAGACTAAAGGTTAAATTTGATCTGGCTTGTTCTTTGCTTCACTTTTTTCCCCCACCTTTGCCAAAGTATAACTGACAGCCTAACCCAGTAAGGTTTGTGACTAAAGGTAGAATGTTTCAAACAGTAACTTACTTTGAATAGAAATCAGAGTATAAAACACATTTCTCATGTGTAACATTGTTTTGCTAATCCAAATAAAGTAGCTTTTAGATTGGTTTCAGGGAGGAGTCATTAAAAAACTCTTTTGAAATTGTTATCTTGGTTACTATGTACTTACAAAGAAAGAAAAGCTTCCAACTTTGGTCTGATTCAATTTATTCCTTTTCCTACCTCCCACAGGAGTAGACAATCTCTTAAAGTTCGAGAACATAAAGTTCTGGGACCATATGTAGATGGTTTATCTCAACTAGCTGTCACTAGTTTTGAGGTAAGTCCATTTTTTTTAATGTGATTAAAAGCTGACTATAAATCAAAGTGTGTAAGCGATATTGGATATATTTTATGTGGATGCTTTATAGCACAGTGATGCCACTCAGGGCCTCAGAAATCCAGTATTAGCACACTGCAGAGAGGAAAAGGGCATTTAATTACACTCTTCAAGCTGCTTTGTTGTGAAGGTTTTACAGTGTGGCCGAAAGGCCCAATGTTTTGAGGTTGCTGCGAATTTTCACTAATACTACTCTGTTACAACTGTTCTCCACTGATGCCAGTGACATCCTTCTAGACATGTGCTAGTCTAAACAGTCTTTGGCAGTTAATGCAGCGCTTTCTTTTTGGCAGGGTGACCTGCCTTGGTTGCTGTCCCTTCTGGCTCTTCTGTTTTTCTGAATCACTCCTCTTGCCATTGGCTGGCCTATTTTCCTTTATATTTACTCTTTGATCTTGTTAAGATCTGACTCAAGATTCTACTTCCATTTCTACAGTCATTGCTTTGGAAATCTCATAACACAAACTACTGTCTTTGTTGCTAAAGAATGTGAATGAATGAGTGGATGCGTGGAGGGACAAGTAAATCCCTGCACTTACTTTGTGCTGTCTGTGGGATGTGGCTGACCCATTATCACTGTCACCCCAGACTTAGTGTGGCTGGAATTAATCTGTGCAGTGACTGTCCAGCCATTCAAATCAAGATACCTATAGAATTGCTCTAATCAGAAATAGAGCACAGCGATCATTTTTAAAACATTTAGATTCTGAAATGATGGGTACCTTTTTGGTCTAAAGGGGCTAACTCGGCTCCTTCACTGAGGTCTCTGGTTCTTAGCTCAGTGTGGTCAGTATTGATGTTATCCTGTCACTTACTAGTAGGAGCCAGGGTGCTCTTGATCTGCGTCCCAGTTCTACCTCTTACTGGATGTGGGGGAAATGGCTTGACCTCCACGAATTTCAGCATCTTTGTGTGTAAAATCAAGAAAATAAAGTTCATTCAGCAAATGTTTCATAAGACCCCATAGGCTCCAGGTGTTCTAGGAGCGAGTGTACAAAGTTGAATAAGAAGAAATGCTGCCATCGGGGAGCCACAGTGTTGGAGGAGGCAGGCAGACAGCAGGCATCAGCGGGTTGGTAAGCACAGGAGAGTTAGTTAAATAAAGTCACTGCTGGTACTGATTATCACAGTGCTCAATAAATATTAGCTACCCCAGGAACCCAAAAAAGATAGGGACTCAGCTGAGAAAGAAGATAATTGGGAAATGAAAAAAGAATAAGGGAAACATTTCATACATTAGAAAGCCCTGAGTGAAGTGGACACTCAAACCATGCTCAGTGGAGGAGCGGACAGGGAGATTTTTATGGAAGGGAAATGACAAAGTCATCAGAGGAATCATAATTAATACATACACCTGGTGTGCAGGACCGCATTCTTGTGTTTTGGCTTATGGTCTTTTCCCTATGCTTTGACCCTAGGATATTGAGTCATTGATGTCTGAGGGAAATAAGTCTCGAACGGTAGCGGCTACCAACATGAACGAGGAAAGCAGCCGCTCCCATGCTGTGTTCAATATCATCATCACGCAGACACTTTATGACCTGCAGTCTGGGGTGAGGGATTGGGCAGAACTTGGGCAGGCGGGTGGATGGAAGAATTAAAAGTGCTTACATAGGTAAAGTCTTTCATGGTTGTGTTCTATGGCTGAGAATTGAATGTTGGCTCTTCTGCTTACTAGATGAGCTACTTTGCTTAAATGATTTGATTTTGTAGGTCTTCCTTTATATTTGACTTTAAAAAAAATGAATTTTGGCCTGGTGCAGTGGCTCATGACTGTAATTCTGTCACTTTGGGAGGCTGAGGCAGGAGGATTCCTTGAGGCCAGAAGTTCACGACCATCTTGTATAATATAGCGACACCCAGACTACAAAAGCAAAAAAGAAAAATAATTGTATTTTTTGTGCAAAGTCCCCAACAAGTGTGATGATATCACCATACAGCTTTTAATATATATCCTTTCATGCTGAAATTCCCATGGAAACAAATAACTCAGCTTCATAGTCATTGAGGGATATTAAAGAGGACACCACAACCTTTAGCCTAAAACCTTTTTTTCAGAAGAAGAAGGATTTGACCTGAATGTGCAGAAATCCTCATGTCCTAATATTTCCTCATAGGCATGTAAAATCTCTAGCATTCTGACAGTATTCCAGAAAGCTGGGTGTACTTGCTGCCCAGGTGCGAAACAAAAATGCTATATTTCCACGCCAACTTAAATTTTAACTATGAAATTAATTCCTAGTTCAAATACCTCTTCTGACTGTTTAAAAACTTAAGAAATTTGCCATGTGAGAGTGGGGTGGATTGCTCAGTTATAGTGCTAATATATACCTAGATAACCATTTGGTTTTTTGCATTGATAAGTTTTTTTCTCTGTCTTATTTTCTCTAACCAGAACTCCGGGGAGAAAGTCAGTAAGGTCAGCTTGGTAGACCTGGCGGGTAGCGAGAGAGTATCTAAAACAGGAGCTGCAGGAGAGCGACTCAAAGAAGGCAGCAACATTAACAAGTAAGGTGGCTGGTGCTGAACAGCCTGGGTGGGAACAGCCTGGGTGATTTCCTTCTGGAGGGGATTCGTTGCATGATGAGGGTCAGATGGTTCTGATACACACGTTGTTCAAAGTCCGTACAGCTTTAGTAAACGGGGTTGAAGCCAAAAACAACCTGTGTCTATTAAGATGTATGAGGTTTTTAGCCAGGCATGGTGGCTCATGTCTGTAATCCCAGCACTTTGGGAAGCCAAGGCAGACGGATCACCTGAGGTCAGGAGTTTGAGACCAGCCTGGCCAACATGGCAAAACCCTGTATCTACTAAAAATACAAAAATTAAAAAATATATATATTAGTTAGGCCTGGTCACACACAGCTGTTATCCGAGCTGCTAGGGAGACTAATGCAGGAGAATCACTTGAACCTGGGAGGCAGAGGTTGCAGTGAGCCAAGGTTGTACTACTGCACTCCAGCCTGGGCAACAGAGTGAGACTTTATCTCAAAAAAAAAAAAAAAAAAAAAAAAAAAGTGTGTGGGGATTTTGTCCAGGTGCAGTGGCTTATGCCTGTAATCCCACATTTTGGGAGGCCAAGGTGGGTAGATCACTTGAGGCCAGGAGTTCAAAACCAGCCTGGGCAACGTGATGAAACTCCATTTCTACCTGCTCTCTACCCTGTCTCTACTAAAAACACAAAAATTATCTGGGCATGGTGGCACATGCCTATAATCCCAGCTACTCATGAGGCTGAGGCATGAGAATTACTTGACTCTGGGAGGCAAAGGTTGTGGTGAGCCGAGATCACTCCACTATACTCCAGCCTGGGCAACAGAGCAAGATTCTGTCTCAGAAAAAAAAAAAAAAAAAAAAAAAAAAAAAAAAAAAAAAAAGATGTATGAGGTTTAAGTAAAACTACATGGTGCAGCTTGCTCAAAAATGGCACAGACAAAATACCATGTTCTGACATATATGGAAGCTAATAAAGTTGATCTCATGGAAGTAGAGACAATAGTGATTATTAGGGGCTGGAAAGGGGAGGGTAGGGGGAATAACCAGAGGTTGGTTAATGGTTACAAAATTACAGCTAAATTGGAGGAATAAATTCTGGTATTCCATAGCACTATAGGGTGACTGTAATTGACAATTTATTGTATATTTTCAAATAGCTAGGAAAGTGGATTTTCAGTGTTCCCAACACAAAAAAATGATAAGTATTTAAGGTGATAGATATACTAATTACTCTAAATCGATCAGTATACATTGTATATATGTATCAAAATATCACACTGTACCCCATAAATATGCACAATTGTGTTTCAAAAATAAAAGCAGGACACTAGGCACAGCAGCTCATGCCTATAATCCTAGCAGTTTGGGAGGCCAAGGTGGGTGGATCACCTAAGGTCAGGAGTTCAAGACCAGACTAGACAACATGATAAAACCTCTTCTCTACTAAAAATACAAAAAATTAGCCAAGCACGGTGGTCGACACCTGTAATCCCAGCTACTTGGGAGGCTGAAGCAGGAGAATCACTTCAACCCGGGGGTGGGGGGCGGGTTGCAGTGAGCCAAGATCACACCATTGCACTCCAGCCTGGACAACAAGAGTGAAACTTCATCTCAAAAAATGAATGAATGAATGAAAAGCAAAAAATGTTACAAATGCATATGTGTATCATATATAATGCAGTCTTAGGTAAATGTAAGTCACAATTCTGTAAATCAAATCATATCTTAGATAAACTCAGGGAGCTTATTCTGAAAAGAAAATCTTCTTTGAATCCCTTTGTAAGGCTAATTCTGCTTAAATAGCAGTACCTTAGAAAAATTTCATAGTTATTGAATAGCTACCATACTGAAATCTCACTGTTTGCCTTGAGTGCCTGCGAGTGCCCCACGATGCCAGGAAGTCTGAAAGAAAGCAGAGGGTGGAAGATGAGGAGTAATTTGCCAGGTAGACACAGGAGTTACAAGCATTCCATGCAGAGGGCTCAGCACAGGTGCTGACGAAGGACTTGCTGTGAGGCCAGGCACAGTGGCTCACGTTAATCCCACCACTTTGGGAGGCTGAGGCAGAAGGCTCGCTTGAGCCCAGGAGTTTGAGACCAACCTGGGCAATGTAGTGAGATCACATTTCTATTTAAAAAAATTAAAAAGACTTGGTGTTTTTCGTTATGCAGTATCCCAGGACAGTCCGTGATGTGCAAGAGGAAGTCTCTTTGCTTTCCACCATTAAGGGAAGCAGAGTTTGAATTTAAGAGTGTGCATTCAAGCCAGACTGCCTGGGTTTAATCCTGCTTCCACCACTTCCTAGACATATATGTCACGGGCAAGTGATTTAACAACTCAGTGCTTCATTTTCTTATATGCAAAATGAAGTTAATAATAGTGGCCGGGCACGGTGGCTCATGCCTGTAATCCCAGCACTTTGGGAGGCTGAGGCGGGTGATCACCTGAGGTCAGGTGTTTGAAACCAGCCTGGCCAATGTAGTGAAACTCCATCTCTACTAAAAATACAAAAATTGGCCAGGTACCAGTGGCTCACGCCTGTAATCCTAACACTTTGGGAGGTTGAGGCTGGCAGATTACCTGAGGTCAGGAGTTCAAGACCAGCCTGGCCAACAGGGTGAAACCCTGTCTCTATTAAAAATATGAAAATTAGCTGGGTGTGGTGGTGGGCACCTGTAATCCCAGCTACTTGGGAGACTGAGACAGGAGAATCACTTGAACCCAGGAGGTGGAGGTTACATTGAGCTGAGATTCATTGCACTCCAGACTGGATGACGAGAAACTCCATCTCAAAATAAAAAAAATTAGCCAGGCGTGGTGGTGGACATCTGTAATCCCAGCTATTTGGCTGGCTGAGGCAGGAAAATCACTTGAACTGGGAGGCGGAAGTTGCATTGAACCAAATCGTGCCACTGTACTCTAGCCTGGGCAATAAGAGCAAAACTCCATCTCAATAATAATATAATAATAATAATAATAATAATAAGTACTTCATAGATTTGTTAGGGCACTTAGTTTGCAGTGAATAAATATTTAATAGCTTTTGGGTTTTTTTGTCAGGATAACCATTATCATGATTTCAAATTCCGCAGAAAGTAGTTTAGTGTGTACTTGTGATCTTTTTCTGTTGAGCTGTAATAACTTAGGGTTTTGTTTCGGACAGAATGTGACAAGAGGAAATATATTCAGGAACGTGTTTGCACAGCTTGCATTTAAGATGACGTTAACACATTATTTTAGTATACAAAAGTTTGAAAATTAAAAGTAAAACAGTGGCGCCTCTATCAGATGGACACAGCCATACTCACTGGGAAAGACCACTACTATAGGGAGTTAATCATCCAGTCATTCTGTCTCCTGCTCTGATAACAAAGGATTTAGCTGTATTTCCTGACAAGGCACTGCAAGGTTCCAGACTGGCACTGCGGCCCTGCATTCCAAAATGAGTTCAGAAACCAGGATGGGGAGGCAGAAATCGGAGTGTGAATGAGCAGATACCAAAGAAAAGATTGCCATGCCCCCTGGGGATTACTTTGCAAGTGCTGTGCCGTGCCTGCTGGTGGGGTTTGTGGGATCACACGCTGGAAAGTCTGTAGACTTGTCGGAATGTAGAGTGTGTGTGTGTATGTGTGTGCATGACTAGCCTAAATATGGAATGACCACTAACTTTGTTGAGCTCTTGCTAGTGCCAGGCACTATTCTGAATGCTCCACATGCAGTGTCACATCACCATCAAGGCATGGGTCCGTTATCCCCATTTTACAGATGAGAAAATCAAGACAGAGCATAGTTTAATGATGTCTTCCAGGTCACCAAGTTCTAAGTGTGGATTTTGGGAATGGTTGCAGTCAGTCGGTCTCTGAGTCCAGGCTCAGCCACTGTAGCTACACTTGTGGGGGTGGCTGTGCATTCTGTTTGCCAGGCAGCATCTGGATGATACTTTTATCCTGGAGTAAATATAAATAGTGCCCCCTTAATTTTGGACGTGAATTTTTGTAGTGGACCTTACTGGATTACCCCAACGCTTGGTGATTACATAATTTAGATCATTTAGTAACTGGCTCTTTTTTCATAATGACTTGTTGAATTGAATGTAATTTTCTCAACATGTTACTCTTTTCTTCTCTCTCTCTTGTCTTTTTTTTTTTTTTTTTTTTAAGAGATGTGGTCTCACTATGTTGACCAGGCTGGTCTTAAACTCTTGACCTCAAGTGATTTTCCTATTTCAACCTCCCAAAGTGCTGGGATTATAGGTGTGAACCACTACTCTTGGCCTTGTCTTATTTATATACTGTCTCTTTCACAAATTGATGTATTTCTTACTAGTTTATAAGATAGGATCTTCCTTTTTAAGGGTTCTTTATACTTTCAGAGCATTTTCATACACTCTGGGAGACTCATAACGTGTATTTTTGTTTCTTTTTTAAGAGGAGGAAACTGATGCTTAGAAACATTAAATAACATAAGTAAAATCCCAGCAAACATTTAGTATGCCTTGGCTGGGTACAGTGGCTCACCCCATAGTCCCAGGATTTTGGGAGACTGAGGCAAGTAGATCGCTTGAGGTTAGGAGTTCAAGACCAGCCTAACCAGTGTGGTGAAACCCTGTCTCTACTAAAAATACAAAAATTAACCAGGTGTGGTCATAGGTGCCTGTAATCCCAGTTACTCAGGAGGCTGTCTCAGAAAAAAAAAAAAAAAATGGCAGTTGAGTTCCTAAACTAAAGAAATCTCTGACACATTCTTAAACTTTCTCTGGGTTCCCACTTGGGTTTCTTTGGAGGAGCATTAATAATCCTCTTAAGCAGACCTGTCAAGGACTTCACACAAACATCAGGGTCTGCTTAATGGGCTGTGGATTTAGGAGCTTTGTGTCTCCTGAAGCTCTTGAGAACTGTAAGCACATGTTACTCCTTTCATTAAAGAACTTAGGCACTGTGTGGCCTACTGCCAAGGAGTGCTCAGAGCCTAGGAGGTATAGGTCATCTGTGGACCATCTTCACAGGGGAATA